TTTCCTTTTCTTAATCGCCACTTAGATTCAAGTGATCATTGTTTTATATTTATAAACATTCAAAAGATGCTACAATTTTTAGACGAAAACAAATTCAGATAAATGAAACATAACAATTGTCTATGATTTTATTTGTGTTATTTTTTAATATCACTCTCTCTGTCTCTCTCTATCTATCTACCTACCTACAACGTTAACCATAAGTCATTTCATACACCACACAGTGAGAATGCATTTTGTAATTGTAAAATCAAACTGAACATTAGTTTTATATCATTCATGTTTGGCATCAGTATCCATTATCATAATATTTGTCAATTTAAATGACAATAGTCTGTTAATTGCAGCCTAGGTAATTGATCTATTATAAGTGGTTTTAATTAAATAACTGTCTAATTACTGAAGTATATGTATTCGGTTTGGAACATTGTTTTGTGTGATTATATATTTTTTTTTAAAAATGTAATTTACACTACACATACCATCTAAGTGTGGAATTGAGAGTAAAAAAAAAACACTAAAGTTCACAATATCTTATTTGCTTTGTACGTTGATGACCTATTATGCTACAATGCCTAGTTAAACTAAGCGATATGATAAATCGTTATAGTCAACTGATTTTTTTTTTAACTGCATCATCTAAGTCATAATTATGATTAAAGTAAATTTGAAATGAAGTTTATAAACTAACAAACATACCTGACATATGCAATTTGATTTATTTAAACAAAATGATCTATCTACACAACAGCTTAAATTAACTTAGATAATGAAGTGCATACATTTATTTTAATAAATTATTATGCTTACCTATTATTGAATATATAAATAAACTTTTTAACGCTTATATTTACGGTAACCTAGTAAAAGGACAACGAGAAAAATCCGTTTAATATCAACACAAACTGGCAGTTACCATTTTTAGTAATATTTAATAGTGAAAATCACCTCTTTAGTATTTTTCTTCTAAAATCAATAAATTAATTCGACATGTAATGTGTCTTTAGAAAAATTTACCCAAACAAATGAAATGTTTTCTTTGGAATAATTTTTGAAAATTTTATTTCTAACATAGTTTTAATTAGTTGTCGTAACATTGAATGTTGAATTCATGTTTATTTCTACAAAAGCAATTTTGAACTGCTGAATACGCTTCAGAAAATAAAGATTTTCTCATAAAAGATATGATTATTTACCGAGTTTTAATATTCGTTATGATGTTAAACATTATAGATACTGTGCAACTTCTATTTTCCATTGGATATATTTTACCCTTTTACTTATACTTGCTTGCAAGCAATTTTATGAATGTTTAACAACGAAAATACACTTATAAAGCACATAGAATTTAAAAGAAGAAATAAAAATCAAACTTTGGTACTAGGACTTGTCAATCAGGTTCAAGAAACGGATGTATGAGTACCTTAGTGTATTGCTCAAAGCCTATCAAAGGATAGCACAAAATCATTGAGCCGAATTGATCATTTTAATTGTGTCAAATGCACAATTGTTTCTCCGTAGATTCCATTTTATAGAAGCACTGACAATATCCCTAAAACCGAACCGAAAACCTATGATCCTAAAATAAAACTTAACCTAGTTGCATTATGTTTCAGTGAGTTTGAAGGGACGAATCTAAACAACGCTTTTCCAATTTGAAGGAACAGTAGATTCCCTTAACATATAAAATCACTTTACAATTTGTCACCTAACTGTTCTCTGTTCTGTAACCTATCTATTTATAAAGGTTGTTTTCGAATTAAACAAGCACTGGCTAATATATTTCTATTGCTGTTTTGATACCTCGTCCAAATAAACAACATATTGTCCTTTTTTGTCTGTTAGTAATAAATGCTACAAAACTTGTACGTTTGACCACTGATCATCTGCAAGATAACATGATCAATTTGTAGTTAGCCAGTTTGATTTATTTTCTATCAAATGAAATACTTTTGTTCAAGGTTAATTCAATAAATATGCAGTTTATTTTATTGCACAATTATTTGATTTATTATTTCTGTCTAATCTTTCTCAATTGCTGTAATTACTTTTTATTTGAATAGTTTAGCTTATTGAGTAATAGTTTTATTACTATTTGTGTATTTCTTATGTTCCGTCCTTATGATTTCGTTTTACAATGCTTAAATTTTATTTTACCAAAAGAATATCTTAATTATCAAATTATTTTCTTGAATATTTCTTATGTGATCTTTCTCTATTTTTCGGCGTAATATGTTTCATGACCTTCCTCTTTTCTTTTTGACTTGAGGGTTCCATGTGAGGGCTTGTCTTGTGACGCAGTTAGGTGCTTTATGCAGTGTGTCCTATCCACTTCCACCGCTTCTTCCTGATTTCCTCTTCCACTGGAATCTGGTTTGTTCTCTCCCACAGTACGTTGTTGCTGATAGTGTCTGGCCAACGAATCTGAAGTATTTTGCGAAGAAAACTGTTAATAAACACTTGTATCTTCTGGATGATGGCTTTGGTAGTTCTCCATGTTTCCGCTCCATAAAGTAGAACTGTCTTGACATTTGTATCGAAAATCCTGATTTTGGTTTTGATTGAATGTTTTTTGGAGTTCCAGATACGTTTTAACTGTAGAAATGCAGCCCTTGCTTTGTCGATCCGCGCCCTCACATCTGCATCGGATCCACCTTGATTGTCGATGATGCTGCCAAGATACGTAAAGGTGTTAACGTCTTCCAAGGCATCTCGATCAAGAGTGATTTGGTTGGTGCATGTTGTGTTGCATCGGAGAATTTTGCTTTTTCCTTTATGAATGTTGAGACCAATTGCTGCAGAGGCTGCTGCTACACTGGTCGTCTCACACTGTATGTATTTTTATTCCTTTTAGACTTATTTATCTAGACATCTTTTTCTTCACATGATCATTATTCTTAAGCACTCATTATGCACAGACCCTTGGAACTGATAATTCTGTAGGTTAATCCAAGGAGGTTTTACTTACTCTATGATTAAAACCAGCAATTAGAATCATCGTAAGTAATTCTTCAGTGACAGTGCAAAATTGATTTCATAGATTGGCGGTATTAAATAAAATTAATAACTTTTTTTAACGAGAAAATTGGTACAGATTTTTTAAAAAAAAGAACATAAACATTTTCTAGTTTCCAATTTTCGAAAATATATTCTAACCATATAATGTGTGTGGTAATATTTAATCAAAGTTTCATATTTCAGAATACACTGTATGAATAATCAGTAAAACAAAATTTGTTTTTTTTTTTGGGGGTAAAATCTTTGTTCACAACTAGTAGACTAGTAAAGTTACACCTTTGATTTGAAATAAAATAAGTCTAATTGAAACTTTGTCTGAGATTAGTTCTGTTACATTTGTGTACAATCAAATCGAATCATATTAACAAATGTAACAGTGAGAAATTTCATTGTGTTAAGAACCAATCATAGATCAGTATGTAAAACATAATTTTATCTATGACTAGTTATTGATCAGTTTAAAGTAATATATGTTCACTAATTTATAGTTAAGCTTGAATAAATGATGACATTGTGTAAGTTTGTGTAATCCGTTTCAGGACCAGAAAAGAATAACCAAGTATTTGTTAATAGTGTGCTGTAATACATAACTTATTTTAGTTGCTGAAATTAGAACTTTTTCTAATTCATAAACTGATTGTCTAGAATGCATTTCAACTTTACTGACCAGTTTTTTTTTATTGCAAAATAACATATCACAACGTTTAATGCATTTAACAACAATAAACCAACAAGGTTTTGTTCATTGTTCAATAGTAATCATTACTCAATGACAGTTGAAATTAAGCTGTTAATAAAATTGATCAAATAAATAGGGCTACACAATTACAGCCGGGTATAAGTTGGTTTTAGTTTCAAAATATTCTCTTCAGTAATCATATCATGCTATACAATTATTACAATTTTAAATATTTGAATCATAGTGTACAGATCACTTTCGAAATGATGCAACAATTCTGAAGCAAAAAGACTATATCACATGGTCCTAATATGCATAATGTATCCTGTGACATCCATCGTCGGCAAAAAATTTCTGACTGTGATAGATAGTTTAACTCAACAAGGTTACCATTATCAAATAAACTGATTAAAACAAAACAGTTTATATTTTCTCTTTTTTTTAAAAAAAAATTTCTATGATTTCACCAATTCGAGATTGTATAAACTAGTCGCTTTCTATTCTATTGAATTTCATAAAAGTTTTTGATTAGTTTACGCTTATTTCGTTTAGTAAACCGGTTGTGATTTGGTTGAATAGACATTTCGCTTTGTAAATGTAACTATGAAGCTATTAACGTGAAAAAAAAATTGAAAGTAAATAATTTAATTCAGTTTTAAACTAATTCTTTCCTTTGTTAATTTAAAGTATTGATTTATGTTACTTATTGAAAAAGTGAATTGTTTTTTACAATCAGCCAAACATTACCGTATTGTAAATATAGTTCATTGGTATATGATAAAGGCTACTTATAAGTCAGAATGGAAATACAACTTTAGTTATATTCCACACATAAATGAGTTTAATTTTAAATAATGAAGTACTTGGATCTCATTATTTCCATATTCATTTTTATGACAATGAGTTAAATTGAGGGCATTTCTATGTACTCGTTGGATTTTGAACTTACATCAGACAATAGATATATTCTATAACGTTGTGCGATAAGGAATGATAGAAAGTTAAAATTTTGTGTAATTTTAACAGAATTTTACGTCATAAATCAGTAATATAACAAACAAATGCTCTGTTAGTCATCATGTTTATTTTGAAAAAACAATTAAAATTCCGTATCAGTGTGGGAAGTGATTTTTGAATAAATTTAAACATCAGATTATTATATCTCAATGTTTAATTATTTAAAAAATAAAATCAAATTGAAATGTAAAGTTAATTAACATTAGGATGTTTACATTTATTGGTTATGTACAAATATATATATATATATATATATATACATAAATAAAATTTTACTGAAACTTACCTCCACCATTACGATAACAGATAAATGGAAATCGCCAAATATTTCCAAGATCTACAGCGAAACCAATAACAGCCAATAGGAAATCAATTTTCGAATCCCATGTTTCACGTGTATTTCCTTGTTTGTCAATAATTGGATTAGTAGATTGTATTTCTTCATTTTTATTTCCAATTTTTTCACATTTCACTGTTATACATTTATTTTCAGTATCATTTTGTGAATTTGTATATAATTTTTCCATGGTTATATGACTTGCATTACTATTCAATTGGTTGTTTGAAGGTATATTTTGTTTTTGCCCATTGGTGTTCATTGAGTCATTATCATGTGGAAATAATAAACTGGCATTCTGTTCTGTAGGTTCTTGAAGTTGGGAAGATGACAAATGACTAGGTAGATTATAACCGGTTTCATCAGTAACATTTCTTGTTGTCAGTTTACTTTGATGAACTTGAGATGTTAAACAACAGTGAGGTTGTGTTCTCAACCGGTTATCGGTGATATAATAAGGTTGTTGTTCGAATTGATTGATAAAACTCGAACTGGTCGTCGGTGTGTTACTAATCATTAAGTAGTTTTATGACAAGTATTTGTTTAAATTATCAACGATTTCAAGTAGGTTATATTTATTTCAATTTTTTGAATTGTATTCTGACAACTTTTTATTTTTTATGTTTTGACAGATAATAATAGTTGTAGACAGGACGATGGAATTCAACAGAATATGATGATAGTCTAGGATAAAAACAGTCTACCGATAATTCAACATATTTTCATCATTACTGAACAATTTCATTAGTTATAGTCATAAACTTATAAGTCTTATTCGATAGAGTTTTTATTCCTACATGGTTATTCGTTATTAAGACAATTTCAATCATAGAGTAAACTGAATCGAAACTGACCAATCATTTCTCAATTATGGTTAGTGCAGTAGAAACATATTTTCGTTAGAAAAACTAATTGGATTATTTATTTTTTGCTAATGTCATCGATACAATTTAAAAATATAACTGATAAAAATGTAAGCTATTTAGAAAAAAAAAAATTAACGCCGGAAAAATTCATATAACCATGCGTAACGATACAAATTATCATGACAACAGACAGGGTTTGTTGTCATGATAATTTGTAATTTCTCACTGTTTTTTAGCAGAATGAAACAACACTCAAAGTTACTCAAGTAGTCTCATTTTGAGTAGATAGCTTGGGCTTGTTTAAAAAGAAAAACCCGTTTAGTAAGGCCATTCGAGCAGAAACAGTACCTTTTAGAGGTATATTACATTTTCGACTTATGGGCCAAACTAAGTAACTGTTCATTTCTGTTGTAGGCATAAAGTTAACTATATGCAATAGTCTTCATCATGCTTATTGTTACTTTTTTCAACAGTAATGTGCAGTGTTTGATCATTTGTGTAGGGAGGATTTTTTTGACAGTATAAAGTAAGATTAAAGAATGGAACTTCTTGTCTGAAATGTTTTAACTAATGGTAAGTGTAATAATTCAATAAATTTTCTGTGACATACCTATTCTTTATCGTTTCAATAATGATTGTACACATCTCCTATGAATATGTTGAAATGTGTATTATTTTTTAAAAAAAAATTTGAAATATGATGTTGAATTTACAAACTTATTTGTGAATAAATCAAATACATGAATTCACAAACATAAATGTGTACAGTTATTTAACAATGAGTTACACAATTTAATGTGACATGTTTGTGAATTATAACAAAAAATATTTATTGTGAAAATGATGTATCCTTTGATTTGACAGTGGCTTTTTTAAAAATAATATTTATCTATTTCCAGAAATATTTTTGATGCTAAAGTTTGTTGTCTGAAGCCCAGATAATTGATTATTGAAAGCTAATGAATGGGGAACTGATATATATATATATATATATATATATATATATATATATATATATATATATATACATATATATATATATATAATGTTTGATGAACAGTCTTATTAAACTTGTAAGATAGTTTTTGGATACACGAGAAGCTTAAAATTATTAGAATACATATGCTGAAATACTGTTCTAACTTCACATACCACTCAAGTGACATTGAGATTTTAATGACTTAAACTATTAATATACACTGCACCTAGATGAATTAGATTGTCACATTCTACATAATATACTCTTTCATATATTACTTATCAATATTCACAGTTCACAAATGTTTGCACCCTTTGCTTACAAACATATATACGACTGTATTGTACGGTAGTTGTTGAAATATTAGTACAAATGACTAAAATTGTACAATTTACAAACAGTGACTTTTAAACTGACTGAATTACCGAAAAAAGAAATGGTAGGCTTTTTTCTTTTCAAATTATTCTAATTGCAGTTATAATCATGTCTGTGATTTATGTGGTTGTGTAATTTATTGATTCTATAAATGCTAAAAATGAATATTCTACTATTTTACCTAACTTACGATTTAGTTGAAGACTAAAGATTAAAAATTTACCACTTGAATAATATGTAACCTGGAAGCACTGAACGGCCGTTTCGTCCTGGTATGGGACTCATCAGAAGTGCGCCTTCACGACTCCTGCAGAATATATGAAACATCATATTTGACGATGTTAAATTAGACAACTCATCACATCCATTAAATTAAATGTTAGTCATACGATTACTACTAACTAACTTGAAGTTGAATTCTCAACATTTTAGTGACACATTCTGACTACTGAAATATATAATTATGTTGAGAGTAATATTCTAAGCAATAACGACATATTATTAAGATTGAATAAAACTAACTACAATTACAGTTATCAAAGCATTTTTAAGTTCAATTTCAACTCACCGACAGTAAAAAACAATACAAACTGTATCGTAGTATTTTTTAATGATCATATATCAGTTTATATTATTTAAGTTTGTTTGTGAACTAACTACATGAATGCAGATTGATTTTTTTTGATTACTGTCTATATACTTTTCATTCAAAAAATGACCTAAAGCGAACGGTTGATGTTAATAAAACAAATAATTAAACTATGATCTCTGTGACAACAGTGTTTTGCCAACATTATATGACATATTTTCGTTTAGGTTTTCATCTTAATGTGCTGTATACTACTTACAACGTGGCTTATAAGTAGCACTCAGTGGATATGCAGCCTTGTGTCCTACAGTTACTGTTGAGGAGAAAAGTGTCGAGTACGGATATATTACGCTGATATAGTATTTTGAAGACTAAGGGAAACGTGCGCTTGCTTTGCACGTGGAAGTTTGAAGTTGAGGAGATCACATTTTGCTAGTAAACTGCATTTTTGCAGTAAATTATGTAATCCATCTGGTCTTAACGTCTTCGTTCAATACATTGAGACTGTGTGAGATTAACTTCATGAATTTAGTTCATTAAATACTGAACACAACCATTATTATTCATGATATAATCGGCTAAATATCTATTGATCAGAGAAAATAATGAATTTTCGAGGCGCGTTCTAAAAACTATTCAATCCTAGTACAAAACTACAATACAATCATTAAAAAGCTCTAGAAAAACTCTATGTCTGAAGCAATGACATTCAATCAACTAAAATCGCTAGATCCATGCCTTCTGTTTATATAGGTAAACAAAATTCATCACACCTGGTATACCATAGAAATAAATTATCTGTAAGATGTCACACAGCGAAAGAAATTAGTAATCATTAGAAGAAATGTTTGTTCGTTAGACTAGTCTTCATGAGTGATGATATCAAGAAGAATAACTAAATTAACCATAAAGAGCACGTTTTCTGAAGAAAATCTAATGCTAATTTACATAACGCTAGATTCAATAACGCCAGAAAAGTAGGCCCATTTTACCAGTCTTAATTATCAGTTCTTTGAGAAATTGAAATTAGTAGGCTAAAACATTGTCTTTGTTTTAAAATATAGTCTTTGTTTAACCTCCAATCATCTTGACTATTAAAAAAGAAATAAGAGGAACATTCTTATCTCTGAAATTAATACCAAATTGAAGATGACAGACTAATAGATGATATGGCTTTCGTGTCAGTATCAAAGCTGTAAACCTTATCTGATTATATATTTGTCTCACTGGTGCTTTCTGCTTAAGTTTAATGCCAACTGTCAGGTATTCTATAATGTTATTCAGGTTAGAAAAATGAACAGTCCATACTCAGCTAATTAATTTCTTGTGGGACATTTTCATAACTATTAAGTTGAAGATCTTTGAGTTATCTTAATTTAGCCTCGATAGAATTTAAAGTCATGCTAATTGAAACCAAAAAACATTATAGAACTTTTAACCTAATGCTTTCTTTTAAGGTTATTTTATTTAGTCTGCTTTATACAGTCATTTTCTATTGTTGATGCAAATGCAGTGGTCATGAGGTTTCAGTTGTTCCAAGTAGACATAATCTTCCAACAGTACTGTGAAAAAGATCAAGTGTTTGTTAACAAAAGGCAAAAATAAAAACTTATATCAAATAACAAAAGTTTCTCACGTGCTACTCAATTTTTGTATTCCTTCTACTCAAATGATTATTAAGTCTACTAAGTTTATAACTAATTTGACAGACAGTTGATAAACAACTTCCAATATGAACCGTATGACATCAGGATTTGAGTAAAACATAATTAAGCTGATTGTTGAACTTTATAGTTAGTTGTAATCATGTTAACATTCACTAGATTTAAAGGTTTCAAGTTTCATTCCTTGTGTGAGTACTGTAGTGGAACACTTCTACGAATAAAATGCGATTGGTGAAAAATAAACATTTATTCTCGTACTCCTTTTGTTTAACTGTACTAAAAAAATACTTACTTACGCGCAACTTTCTATTTTTGCGTTGCTGCCGTCATTCATAGCTTGCTGCTTGTTATATCATTCTATTTCTCCTTCAAATATATTTTTTTACCCTGGATTTATTTGTATTCATTGTGACGGGATAGTAATTAGTATTCATTGGTGATCATAGTCAATCTCGACTCGGTCACCACTAAACTACACAAGGGCTTTACTATTTAAAGAGCTGTACAATACCTCCTGGGATTCAGTGCTAGTTTAGCTGATGTCAGTTTATGTGAAAAACTGTTGTTTTTAAAAAGGATGTCATTTTGTGAATATGTATATTTCATAAGACTCTTCATTTCGACTAACTGTAAACTTAAGCATTTTTTTAATTGGAAATTTGACCGATAAGTGAAGAAAATTAGAATGATTTGGTTATGTTTATTAAATCGTAAAAGATTGTATAACTAATACATTCTTTCTGTTTTTAAGGTGTTTTCAAGCATCCTAATTGTTCTCATATCCAAGATGTTAGATAGCTAGAGGTAACTGGTAGGTATCTGAGAATCCAGGTTTCTTGTTTCTAGAATTTATTTACATGAAGTAAGTTTACTCTTAAGGGAAATAATGTTGTTTGTAGGATTCGGATTCGCATTACTGAGGTCCACAATCGGCTACGTGTCAACTGAGTTTTCCAGGCCGCTACTGACTGATTGTCAGTAGTGTAGATACATTTCAAAATCATTGATTTAAATCATATTTATAAAATTGCCGTCAAAACTATTTAATTCCTAAATTAGATTGTTTATTTAAAATAGTATTTGCTATAAGCATTAAATCTCTTTTTTATTTATATATATGTATGTGTTTAGAAGTGATTTGGCAGTAAACAGATTGATAAAGACAGAACTTGTTAGGTTTCAGTTTTTTTTGTTCTAACGACTATCGTTTGTTTGTTCCTTTGTATGCAGTGAACTACACATCTTATGTTAGACATATGCACATTTAAACATAAAAATGTCTGATGACAAAATGTCTTAATCGAAATTTCCGTCTATCTATACTCTAATCTTTGATTTA